AGGGCAGCGAGGTGGGCAGAGAGCGGCCTCTGCCTTCACCCGGGGTATTTACATTTTAGTTCTGTTTACAATGTGCTCTCTGGGCCACTCAGGTCCCTTTCTGAGCCTCTGTTTGCACATGGGCCCTGACTGTGGGGCCCTGACTCCGACCCTGGCCTCGCAGGAAGAAGCATGTGGCGTCGGGGTTAAGAGCACAGCCTTGGCACCTCAGCCTTGACCCTTGGCAGCTGTGTGACTCTGGGCCCGTCATAGCCTCTCAGCCTCAGTCTTCTGTGTGAAATGGGATTACCGTGGTCTCTGCCTCAAGGGCCTCTGTATTAACTCAGATCATCCCCATGAAACACTGAGAACAGCACTTGGCACAAAGAAAGGGCTCGTAAGTCCTCGTTACTGTTGCAGTTGCTGCGGTTTCATAAGGCTGTCTGTCCGGAGAGCTCGCGCGCTCACTTGCTCGTTTCTCGCACAGAGGCAGTGCTCAGCTGCGGCGATATCTACTGGAGGGAGCGGGTCTATAATTGTTTGCACTCATTCATGCCCTTCTTCCCTTTGAGATAACACGTTTCACCCCATTGACTTGGGACTTGACCGTGAGACAGGGACTGTGAAGATGCGATGATGTTCTCCAGGTCTCAGCAGAGCTCAAAACGAAGCGAGAGGGTTTCCTCATCGCACTTGCTTGTTTCCTCTGTCACGGAAGGGGTTGCCCCCAAGGGGCAGCTCCTCCAGCCTGGGCCCCGGAATGAGAAGTCGTGGGCAGAGCCACAAGGGCCACAGTTGACCGCCAGCCGCCTGGGATGTGAGCGAGAAAGTCAGGTTGGTTGTTGTGAGCCCCTGAGCGTTGGGGCTGCTCGTTACCACAGCCACACGGACCCATACCCACAGGATTAAGAGGAAGGACCTCCGAGGAGGGATCCCACGACCTACTGGAGTGGAGGAGACAGAGCTTGGAAGCTGACGTGAAGGAAGTGATAGGAGCAGACAAAACCCGGCACACACAGGCTGGCACGCATGTGCACACACGTGAAACACAAGGGAACTCCCCACACCATCTGCCCTTCTTACCCACCAGATGGACGGCAGCAGGTCGCTGGAGCGAGCTCGCTTTCCTGCAGGGTCCCCTAACCCATGCCCCCTGGCCTGGAGCTAGCAAGCTCTCCCCCCACCCCCCAGCCCGGGCGCCTCCCTTGCTCCTGGCCCTGATTCCTGGGTCGCTCTCACTGAGCAAGTCCAAGAAGCCCTTTGCATTGGCCTCTGTTTTGTTTGCTTTCGCTTGTGCCATCCTGCTGTGGGCAAGAAGGAGGCGAGCCAACATCAGCCGCTGCCACAGACCAAGGGCAACATTTCCTGGCCTCCGGTTGGGATGTGGTTCCCTTCCCGTGGGTCGTCCTCCCAGAGCCAGGTCTGTAAATGGTTGGCTGCTGCGCTCTCTCCGGCCCTGCCGAGGTTTGTCTCAGAGTGGGCCCTGCGATCTCTGCTCCGTGGCCTGCCCTCTGGCCCCCGCAGGCCTCCCGGTGGGCACCGCGGCCGGGCAGGCTCTGCCATCTTGCTTTGGGAAGAGGGGCTGTGCGTGAAGCCTGACCTCACTGGCCTGGGAAAGGTTTCCATTCGGGGCGCTTTCCACCCAGGAGGCAAAGCAAACATCTGGCCGCCCAGTTCCCTTGGCCCCTGCCAGCCACCCCACTCGGGGATTCCAGGCAAATTCCATCATTTCTCCATTTCCTTTCCTCCCCGTCTAGCGGAGCCTGGGCCGCTCCGTCTTCCCTCCCATCGGGGAGCCATTCACAGCCTCTCCCTGTGTCTGCCCCGGCCCTGACGGGAGTTTTCCTGTGGCTTCTGTGGCCGCCACCCTGTCATTCACCACCCAGTGCTGCAGGCTCCCCGGCACTAAGGACTCTCCCAGCCAATCTCGGCCCAGTGTGGTCGCTCCAGGCAATTATCACCAAGGCCTTGGAGAAGCCGCGTCCTTGGCCCAGCAGCTCCCAGCCCCCACCCAGTTCCTGGCAGCTCAGTCCTTGCGTTGGGTGCTCTGGGTGCAAGGACCAGGCACTCAGCGGTCTCAGGCGTTGCCTGCAGGACGGAGGCTGGGGCGGCCCAGCAGGGCTGTGGGGGCCTCCATTCAGCCCCACAGTCGGGGCCCCTTCGCTGGTGCGGCATCCTGTCTGCATCCTCCTGTTCTCATCCTTTTCTTGGCCGCTGCTCCTGTGGCTGCTCCCCAGGCTCTCTCCTCTCTCCTCCATCGCACGTGCTTCCTCGTGGGGTCTCGTCTGCCTGCTCGTGGGGTCTCGTGCTCTGTGGCCTCTGCCGACAGGAGCTGTCACTCTGCGGCTGCTCTGGAGACCCCCTGAGAGGACGCGCTTGGGGCATCCCTGGCACCTAGTCCCGCTGGACAGAGGCCTTGGGCCAGGCCACCTGGCAGGTCTCTGATGTCCCCATGACCAGCCCATTGACGGTTCTCTTGGAGTCGGGTGCCAAGCCCCAGACCAGCTGGTTCTGTATGGCCAGCTGTGTGCTGGCCTGAGCCACAGCACAGTGGCCAGCAGCTCAGGAACTTCCTGTGGTGGCTCCGTCCCGAATGTGGGGTGGGGGGCACTCGCGGACTCCCGCCATCAGATGGCACCAAGAGCGCCTTTAGCTGTTCCGCTTAAGACGCCCATCTGTCTCCTGCTGCTCAACACACACTTCCAATAGGGCAGCTCCTCACGTGTGCCCGGCTCCCCAGGTCCAGAGACAGGGTGGGAGCCTTTGGAAATAGCCTGGGGCTGGCTGCGGAGGCTGTGGACTGGGCGGGCCCTGAGAATGGATGCAGGACCGTGTCTGGGAAGATGGGGGCTCTCCATGGGTGATTTCAGGAGGGCAGAGGAATGGCAGGGCCTGGAGCAGGGGGCAGATGGTCGGCCCAAGAGCACCAGGTGGTCAATGGTCGTGAGAGCCTGGCGCCGTGGCCGTGCGGTGTGAGCTTGGCCTCAAGTCCCACAGCCCAGCTTCACTTCCCAACTTTGCCACCTGCTAGCTCGCTGACCTCAGCCAATCGCTTAATCTCTGCGCTCAGTCTCCTGATCTGTCCCAGGGGAATAATAAGGCCCTGCTGTGACCCCCTAAGGCGATGCAGGCAGAGGGCACCACACTACGTCCAGCGGCAGCGAGGCCTGGGCTAGTAGGAACGACGCTTTTGTAACTAACGTTACAGATAAAGTAATAATAATGCCAATCAGCCCTAGCCGGTTTGCTCAGTGGATAGAGCGTCGGCCTGTGGACTGAAGGGTCCCGGTTTCAATTCCGGTCAAGTGCACATGCCCGGATTGTGGGCTCAGTCCCCAGTGTGGGGTATGCAGGAGGCAGCCGATCAATGATTTTCTCTCATCTCCCTTCTCCCTCTCCCTTCCTCTCTGAAATCAATAAAATATATATTTTTTAAAAATAATGCCATTCACAGGGACCAGGAGCCTGGAATGGATGGGACTCACGCTTGGCAATTTAGGCACCGGAGCTCAGCTGGAGAAGGGGTTCCCAGAGCTAGGAGCCGGGCCTTGGGGACCCTGGCCTGAGTCTGGGGTCTCAGGAAGGTCCCGAGCCCTGGGTGGGGGCCGGAGCAGCTCTCAGGCCAGCCTGGCTGAAGGACTGGCGTGGACGAACCTGCTAGCACTGAATTTGACTCAGCCATGAGGAGCCCGGGCAGAGGTGACAGAGGTGACAGGGAAGGGACCTGCTGCCGGCCCCTGTCCCATGCAGGGCCCTGAGGCTCAGTAACCCTCTGACAAGCCTGGGGAAGAGGCAGCAGTTGGAGCCACGCCCACAGCAGGGCTCAGGCTTGGCTGAAGGTTCTAGTGACCTTGGGGCTCCCCGTCCCCCTAGAGACCGAGGTGGCAGTTTCTACCAGTGGAGACATTTCTTCAGCCTCTCCTCTGCGTGGAACCGCTCTCACGCTCCGCAGAGCGTCTCGGCCCCACCCTGGTTTCTGGAACTCTCCAGCCTGGGCACCGAGCTGCACCCGCATGACGCCAGCGCCTGGACGGGGGCCTCAGCGCTGACTCAGCGGAGCCCGGGGCCTGGGCCTGCGGCTGCCCGACTACCGGGCAGGGGTCCTCGGGCTCCCAAGCTTCTGTGCACCTCCTCTGCCCCTTGGACCTCGGAGCTGATGCTGGTCACGGGCTGAGCGTGGAGGCTGGGGATGCAGTGGTTATTCAACTTCCTGAGACGTTGTCACTACGTAATCGCCGTGTGCCCTCTCGATGACGCTGTGGCACAGATGAGGCAGGTGTCGTCACCCACATTTTACAGGGGAAACTGAGGCTCCGGAGGTTCTATTGTGGCTGCCTGGCCCCTGGGCCCAGGTCTTCGCGCTTCAAAGCTGGTGCTCTGTGCCAGGGGTTCCCCAAGATTCTAATTTAGAAGGTGGGTTCAAGGAGTGATCTTTTCACAGTCTCCCCAGATGGCAGGTAGAGGTGCAAGTAGGAGGCTGGGGCCAGGAGGGCAGAGGCTGTGGGAGAAAAGGAGCAGATCAGGTTGCCCTGTGCAAATAGCGGGAACTTGTCACAGGAAGTCGGCTCCTCTCCACGGTTCCAAGGACGGGGGTGGAGGCAGGGTGCTCAGGGCTGCCCAGGGGGTGTCTGGAGGACACCCTGCCCTCAAAAATTCCAGAAAGACTTTGCTCATCAAGAGTGGCCAATGGAGCTAGATGGCCCGATTAGGTCTCTCTCCGGCTCGCCAGGCCTGTGGCTTTCCCGAGTCCTCCAGCCTCGCTGCCTCAGTCTTCCTGCAGTAAATGAACCATCCTTCCTCCAGGAAATGGCCCTTGGTGTACAGTGAGCCCTTAATCACTGTGAGCAACCCGGGGACCAGGGCTGCCTTTACCCCGGCGGCCTCTCCCGTTTCCAGCCTCCTCTTCTGCAGCTCCCGGCCAGGCCCAATGGGAGGAGACAGGCTCTAAGACGAGGGGGGAGATGAGACAAACCCAGCCCAGGTCAGGTCAGCTCTGCCCCAAAGCTCTGCCTTCCCCTCAGAGCCTCCCCGCGCACCAGTGTGACCGTGGCCTTGCACAGTTCCAGAGAAGGGGGACCCTGTCGGCATGGTGACAAAGGCACGGGCCAGGCCAAGAGAGCGGGTGCCCAGAGGCGCTGTCCACGCTGCCTCTCACTGTCCTGGCGTCAGGAAGACTCGGCTCATGTTCTCGGCCCTGGAAACTATGCCCTCATCTTGGGCTTTCTCCATCACCACCAGCTCCGCTCGCTTGGACAGCCGCCCCGGGGAATTCGCTCAGCAAAACAAATAGACATGTATTTGGTATCGGATCACTGGCAGCGGGGATGGGTTCTGGCCCGTGGACTGGAGCCGAGGCCAAGTACCGTTCTCCGGAAGCATGAGGCCTCCCCCCGCATGCAGACCCCAGGTGGGAGGGCACAGGACCGAGGGACAGCGGCTCCACGTGTGCATGGGCCCCCCTGAAGCTCCGGAGCGACTGTCCAAGGTCACACAGCAAGTTTGGAGGAGCCGCCCCGGGAACCCAGGCTCCCAGCCCTCCCCGCCCAGGTGCCCCCCGGGCTGGCTTGTGCAGGATGGACATCATCCTTGGGTGTTTGCCAGCGCTTGGAGCTTAATGAGGTAGACGCTGATTTAATGAGTAGAAAGGCCAGTTTGGGGATTCTCGGATACAATGATAATCATCATTCCTAAAGAAGGACAACAGAACTTTACAAGATTTTAAAGTAATTTTCTGATCCTCGCAGATCAAATGATGTTTAAGGGAGTGTGGGAGCTAGCAGGTGCTCTGTCTAAAGTAGCCGTCCTCCTCTGGAACACTATCAACAATAAAAAATATATAAAGTAGCCGTCCTCCAATGCCAGTGTGCGTAAAACCAGCCAATCACTGATGGGGCCACCTCCCAGTGGGCCTGGATATGTGACTGACTGCACAGAATATTCTAGCTCTCCAGTGGCTGGACACCCGTTCTTGGAATCCTACTTGAAAAACCAGACAGGTAAGACTGGAGCGCTCACGGTGTGTGCGGGAGGCCTCTGCCCAGCTGTGCTATCGCTGCTGCCGGTGTCCTGTGTGGGGGTGGGGTGGGGGGACAGGCCTGTGGGGCACAGGGGCTTCCAGGCGTGGGCTGGTCCACTCGGTGGAGAAAGGAGGAGGTGTGTGCTGGGGCGGGGCGTGCTGGGGTGGACCTGTTTATCGATGCCGGTTCCGAATGGAACAGCCTTAGCTGGCTTCCTTCAGGACGCTAGGGTTAATGTTCTGTTCCTGCAAAAAGGGCTCCTGGATGGGTCCCGGTCTGCGAGAGATGGTCAGTCACACTCTGCCACCTGTGCATGGAGAGCAGCACCTCCGATCACTTACTCTTCCTAGAGGCCCGATGAGGCCGATACTATTGTTCCCATTTCTCAGAAGAGGAAACTGGGGCACAGAGAGTAAAGAGCTCGCCTGAGGCCACACAGCCTCCAGGCTGCGAATGCCGGCCAATCTGGCACCGAAACCTTCCCCTTAGACCAGGTGTCGTAGGGGTGGTCCCTGCTCATCCCGGCGGGAAGGACTGGGAGTGCCATCCCAAGCCATGGAAGAGGAGCCTCGGTTGGAGCATGGGAAGGTGCCTTTTCAGCAAGTACCTGGGTGGCTCCACAGTCTTCAAGTTTGCAGAACAGTATCTTAAACGAGGCACAAACTCACTGCCCCCGATGGGAAGCCCTCGTGGTGCTTCAGGTCAGGACCCCGGGGACGGGCTTCCTCCCCGGGGGCCCAGCTGATTCCAGTCTGAGAAACACACCTCTTCCCCAGGGGACCGACACCAGGACAGATGGGACCCTCCCTCCTTCCAGGGGCAGCCTTGTCCCCAGCGTGGGTCCTGCGTGCTGACCCGGTACAATCAGAACATCGCTGGCAAGCAGTTCCTGTGGGTCACCCACTTACTGCTGGGACTTGCAGTCACCCATGGTCCCAGCCCATACCCCCCCCGCAACACCCCAGCAAGAGCAGGGGAGAGGTGCCACCTCACCCAGGTGGGTGGTGAGAACCCCAATGTGGTTACAAAACCTCTGTACCATCTGCAAGCGCCAGGCCTGGGATCATTTTAGGATTTCTCACACTGAAACAAGCCCTTGGGGAGAGAGGCTCTCTAACAGCACAGTCCTGGCTCGTGCTTTGGGAGGGACGGCACCAGCTCGATGGGAAGGGATCCTCGGGCGGGCGGGGACGGATCTGCGGCTGTGGCGGTCGCACTGCTGCTTACCCCGGGAGGCCTCAGGCTCCTGGCCCCCCTCTGCTGTCCCTTGAGCACCTGTGCTCTGTGGTCCCAACCTAGAAGCCACCCGAGGGCAAGCACATGTCCACACAGAGTCGCCGGCGCCAACCCCCCTCCGGGAGTTTGAATTTTAGATGGCAAAGGAGTTGCAAATTCGTGGTGGGAGGAGACACTGGAAGGGACAGTAGCCAAATCTCATGAATGTTTAGGAATCACTAATATGGTGCCGAGAGGACATTGAGAAAAATGAGCACTTGGATCACCGTGGCCCTCAGGTCCCGGGCGCTGTGAGGTCAGCTCCCCGCCTGGGGTCTCGGTTCCCAGCCACTCCCAGGGAAGCCTTCACCCCCACATGCACAGGTGAGGACTGGAGGGGCCTCGCCACTGAGTGGGTGCGACCCGCCTCCTTTGGACTCTCATCGCTAAGACTCAGTGAGCAGAGGAGGGAGAAGGGGGAGGCGAGGAGAGCTGGTGGCTGAGAGGGGCATCAGGATGGGCCCAAACCAAGCTGGTCATCACCAGGAGGAAACCCACAGCGGGACTTGGGCTCCGCCTGCGCGATTAGTGCTCCGGAAACCGCGGGGACCCGCTGGAGGCCTTGACTGATGCCGTGTTCTTTTCCATTTCTTCTCTGATTACATTGATCCCGTACTTTTGCTGAGGTTGTGACAGTCTAATTATAGACCTCTCGGCTGCTGAGCAAACAGTCGGCCCCACTCAGTATATCCGCCTGTTACACAAGCTCAGCTCTGGGACACTGTCATTACAGGCAGCCAACCCCAGGACGCATAGAGATGCACAGCCACGCACCCTTCCCCTCCTTCCCGTCCCTGCCGGAGCCATAGGTGCTGGGGGTGAGCCAGGCCAGGTCCTTTAAAAATAAAAATAAAAAAGATGAGAAACCGAGGCTCAGAGCAGCGGCTAATATAACACAGAGCTTGCAATGAAACCTAGACTTGGGGTCGGGGGAGTGGTGACGTTATCCAAGGCCTCTTCCTTTCTTGTTTTCTTTTTCTTTCTTCCACCAAACATCCACTCGGTGTCTGTTCTAAGAAATGTGGAGGAAAAATGTCACCTGGCCAAGAGCAGGGAGTGTTGGCCGGGCGGGGCCAGCTGGATAGTCTCCATCCTCAACGCTTCTCAAGAATCCATTTCCTGCCCTGACCGGTTTGGCTCAGTGGATAGAGCATCAGCCTGCGGACTGAAGGGTCCCAGGTTCGATTCCAGTCAAGGGCATGTACCTTGGTTGCGGGCACATCCCCAGTGGGGGGTGTGCAGGAGGCAGCTGGTCGATGTTTCTCTCTCATTGATGTTTCTAACTCTCTATCCCTCTCCCTTCCTCTCTGTAAAAAATCAATAAAATATATTTAAAAAAAAAAGAAGAATCCATTTCCTGGTCCTCCAACGTGTAGGCCTCAGAAACATGCCTGCATCTGTGACCCCGAGGTAGATGCATCAAAGATACTGATTGGCTGAAGCAGTGCTCGCAGGGATGGGTGTAGAGGCTGGAAGGAAGAGGCGTGTGTTCTGGACCTCCAGCATCTGAACTTGCTTTGCTGTTGGGCTAGAGCCCCTTCCTGGAGTTAAAGCTGAAAGCGCCAGGTAACCTGTTCCTGAACCTTCTTTGCAAGAGGGGCTTGGGCTCTGCAGATGAGACGGTCCCCATCCAGATTTTGAGAATAAGCAGGGACACAAAGACTCGATTTTCAACAGGTGGTGGCTGTGGTGGTGGTGGCCCTGTTCTCCAGCCGCCCTGCTGATTCTCTGGGCTCCCCAGTAGCTTTTAAAGAAATCCCGTTTTGTGTAAATCTTCCAGAGTCGTTTTTGATGAATTGTAACTAAATATCCAGGCTGAGCTGAGGACTAGAAGATAAAGTTTGAGCATTGAGAAGCACACCTGG